AGATCCCTGATTTTCACTAGTCACTCATACATGTTTAATGGCAGGAAATGTATATGGGAAGGATTATGTGCAAATTCCCTGTTTCTCTCATTTTCCTATGTCAGCAGCTATGTATCTTTATAATCAGGATAGGAAGAAGTAAGGAGAACACTGATATTTTGCCACTGGCTGGACTGAATTGCTTGAAAGATCACAGGACCACTACTTTCAAAACATAACATGTTAGCACATATGCTGTGAATGTTAGTGACAAACATGGAGTGCTGTTATGGTTCAGCCTCTTGGAGTGTTTGAGATTTCAGAAAAAGTACTAGAAGGACCTGAATCAAAAACAAAGATAAAATAAAATAAAATAATCCCAAACCAACTCCCACCAAAAAATACAGAAAGAAACAAAGACTACATTGTGACAAAGATAAATAATGTATCCTGAAGGCTGTATTCATTAAATGGGAGTATTTACGGCTGCTTCTGTTCCTCCACTGATGTATTAACATCTGTAAGAAGCATATAATTGTTGTTACAAATTTAGCTAAATAAAGACTATTACCAGTGGCCACTATTACCATTTACACACACACACACATTTCAATTTAAATTTCAGCACGTGAAAGAATTTATACTTGCAACCAAGCAACGTTACCTTCTAGTTTATTTAGTTTAAGTAAGTTTTACCTACTAGCGATTAAACAAGAAAGTCAGCTCTGGGCCAAATTACCCTCTAAATGGAGCATATCACAGTGTGTGATATGCATACTTGAATTCAGGCTGTCTACAGCCCCACTTACAGACATTGCAATGACTAGTCCATGAACCATCTCTCAGAAGACTCTTGCAGCTGCATGCATGAAGAGCTAGTTGAGAGGTGTTTCCATGGTATTGAAGAAGAGCCAGAGTTGAAGTGGAAAAATGTCCTTTTAACAATCCTCTTTTGTCAATGCCTTTCCTTTAGCACATACAGTGGGTCTCACCTTTAGTTAGAATTACATCCAAAATGCATAAAAAGCTCGCCTTGATTTATATCAAGAAAGTTGGAAGCTGGCTACTTCACTGTTGGGGTTTTTTTTAGTTTTCCCAATACTTGAAAGCAGCATCTGATTTGCTCACAGCCTATAAAGTCATCAGCATTTATGCTTCTTCATATACAAAAATGCTGCAAGCTTTAGTGACCTACCTTCTCGGTACCGCCATTCCTGTTATGAGGGCAGTTTGGCTCTTAAATTTTTTAAAATAACCTTTAAATAAGTAAAATAACCATAGTGCTAAGACAAATAGTAATAGACTAGTGGGTTTTCAGTTAATATGAAGGGATGGAATTAGGTTATTTTTTGGTATGTTTCAGAAGTAAATGTGGTACTCTCTGCACACTGCTCTTTTTGCAATACTTATAAAACTATGCATAAAAGCGCCTCATAACAGCATTTAGAAACTGTGCTGGTGTTTCAAACCTTGTGTTTTATACACACATGCTTAAAAAGGTTTTAAAGACAGTTGAATGCTGGCCTCTTATCTGTTCCACTTCCTCCCTCTACTCCACTTTCATTCTCCCCAGTTCTCACACTGTCATTATAAAATATTATATCCCAAAAAGAGAAGGACTTCCTAAATTGCCTATCATTCTTCTAAAAAGGAGAAAATGTGTACTGAAAACCACCTACAAATTAGCAGTAGTTTAGACAGCAGGGATAATTAATCATATCTTGATTAATATTGTCAGGAAAGAAAATGTAGTGCTTTGATTCTTGCTGCTGAAAAAAGTTAAATATTAAGCAGATATTGAAATCCATGCACTTTTTTGGATGTTCTTTTTTAACTATGTTGATGAATTGTCTCACTGTACATGTGTTTTCTTGCAGTCTCGCTAGTGTTCTTTATGTCAAATGACAAAATGACATTGTCCGTTGTTATGTGATGCTCTCACTACTGAGAACCTTGAATGCAGTATATGACATTAAGACTATGTGACCGCCTGGATTTTTTTGGTACTGTAGCTACAGCTACTCAAAAGCTTGTGTTCATGTGGATTGTGTGTGTCTTGTTCATTCTTAGCACTGAGTCAGTTCAAGTGTAGTCAAAGCTTCTTAAGTGTAGGTTGCACACTGCCTTCCACCTAGACAAAAGAGATCAAATGTTTTAAATAATTTATGGTAATTTTTACCACTCAGCTATTTTTCTGCAATACTAGAATATTATCTGCTACCTTAGACAATATTTATTAGATGCTTCTAGTTTGGGTGAGTATGGTTAACATAACAAATGGTTAACAAATTGACACCCAAAAAAAGTTAAGTAATAAAGATGCTGTCTACTTATATTGCTCACAAAAATATTTTAGCATATGGAAGAGAAGTATATTCATCTTCCTTATGTAGCCACATAGAAGAAAGTGTAAAAAAAGATCATTGTTTTTAAATGGCTTGAAGAGTATTCTTAATCTTTCCTGAAGTTACTGACCTTTCACTATACGTTTGAAAATACAAGTTCACCCATACTATGAACTGTTGTAAAAGCATAACAAATTTACATATATGTATGCAATATATATATGTAAAGATAAGCCACAATGAATGGCATATTTAAAAAGTAATATTCCAGATCACCACACAAACAGTAGATATAATTTTTTTTAATGCATTTATCAGCAGTGGCAGAAAGCATTATCTGATAGATTTAGAAAATGTTAGAAAGATCAAGGAGTTAAAAACAAATAAAATTCAGAGCAATTAAGATTATATTTTATAGAAAGAAAAAAAAGATCTCGCTGATTTGTTCTTTTCTTCACTTTCCACAAAAAGGAACTCTAACCAGTATCATTCTGGTGATAAGTATTATGAAATAAGTATGTGCTATGCAGCACAGCTGTGTGGTTATTCTAAATGTTCAGGAGCACCTAAAAGTAAACACAAACAGTGGCTTTAAAGATATTTCTGTACTGGAGTGTACTTTGATGGTAAGAAGCTGTAACATGCTAAATTCTGAGGTTTCTGTGCAACAGAAACCATACTGTACAGAAACACTCCACCTACAGCACTGTGGTCAAAAAGTTGATTGAAAGGCATTTTAGATGCAGAAAAAATATGTTGAGTTGTACGTTTTATTTTCTGTATGTTTAGCTTTTTCTAAAACATGCTTTTATATATATGTATATATATTTCAACAAGTGCATTGCAATTTTCTGTCATCAGAGAAAACATTAAAGGAGTATTTGAAAGACTAGGGTTTTTTTCAGAATTTGAATGAATTTTTGTTACCTATCTCATTATTTGTTCCAAATATCAAAAGCCATTGAGACAGACAAATTTAGAAAGAACTTACTATCAATTATGCATACTTGAGACCAGTGCTGTGGAAAGTGTGTTTTTAAAATGCTTGAATAATTGTATTTAATGGCAATCCATCTTTTCTTAACAGTATGTTGACAGAGGCTAAAGAGATTGAAATGACAGTAAAAGGAATAACATTCAGTATACATTTGGCAGAATAAATGTTCATAGTATTGGCACAGAGCCCCATCTTTCTGAGATGGACTAGCAAATAGCGATTGGCAATACTTAAAGGTCACGTTTTCCATGGCCTAACATGCTGGGATTTTAAGGTACTCTGGGGTCACAGTTAGCATTAACTTGCATTAGGAGTGTTACAAGATAAAACAGCAGCCATATGAACCATGTACAGACGAATCTTCTTGCCTCAGCATTAAAGTGCAGAGGTGCTACTGCTTATGGGTATTAAGGAATGGTAGCAACAAGTGCAGGATTAGGCAGACCTATAAACTTGGTTGCAAGCCTGTCCTTGACATAGCAAATACCTTGACTACATGTTAAATTTGATTAATAATGGGCTTAGCAAAACCGTATTTTCGTCTTAAAAACTCTCCTCACTGAAAATTATTAGGAAAAAAAAAAGATGTAAAAAAGTCACAGTGATTGTATACACTTAATGGAAATTGCATATATGAAGAAACAGAAGAAGGAGAAAACATCAACCATACAGTTAGCTTAAACAGCTCATGGTAGTTTCTTATTGAGTCACATGTCTTACTGGGACTTGTAAGCTAGTGCAGAAAAGAAAAGAAAAAAAAATTATTTGATGTGCAGGTCTTCTATTGTCAAAACAGTCCCCGTGGAAGATTATGGTTTTGTACAGAGTAACGATATTTTTCGTACTGCCTAGGTTTTGCATGATGTCAGGGCATTAGCTGGCCTACTGAGAACTTACAAGCACATCCCTGTTTTTTCCTATATAATATGACCCAAAGTCCTTTGTACTAAAAAATGCCAGTTTGTATTTATAAGCATCTAATTTGAAATGAAATAAAGTATGCTACATCTGTGTTTAGAAAAGACCTTGTTTCAAAGGTGGTATTTGTTGCTGGCCAACTATTGTTTGTTCTTCATTCATGCTTTGTATTTCTCATTTCTGACATGAGTTTTTGAATTTTTAACACCAGATATTTCTTCAAAACTATTGTGAGTGTTGTTTATATGAGCAATATGTCTGTTTCACACAACTTAAATTCTGTATGAAATAATTTCTTCCACTAAAAATCTAGCAGGAGTTGGGGGGCATGGAATCAAAGCCAATCAGTATAATAAAAAAAAATTTACTCCACATGTTCAAACCATTTACAGCTGCAAATCTGAGGTGCAGTTTTAAAATATTGATGGGAAAGATATATGCAGTATAAAGAGTATATGAATTAAAAAGTTACAGAGAAAGATGCAGTATCAACACTTCATAGCGCTGCTTAATGAAAATGTCCCATGCTCTTTACCTGTTCCTCGAGTCTTGTGTAGTGAGAATTAGGTATATTTCCTCACTTACATAACACACACACATACTTATATTCTGTTTTGGAACTATATTTATATTTATGCATTTGCCTTCTGAACGTGTTCAATTCAAAGACTACAGCAGTCATACATTATATTTCCAAAAAAAAAAAGAATGACTACAAAGACCAGCTTGGTCTTGACAGACCTTTATTTCTTTTTTTCCAGGTGACATTTACAAAGAGGAAATTTGGGTTAATGAAGAAGGCTTATGAGCTGAGTGTTCTGTGTGACTGTGAGATTGCTCTGATCATCTTCAACAGCACCAACAAACTGTTCCAGTATGCCAGCACTGATATGGACAAAGTGTTGCTGAAATATACTGAGTACAATGAGCCGCATGAGAGTCGAACGAATTCAGATATTGTTGAGGTAAGATTTTGTGTTCTGTGGGGATTCTTTTTTTGCTTTGCTCTGAGATGGAGGTACTCAAAGCGAGAGGCCTGATCATCTTTCCCGAGTGTTGTAGAACGTACCCTGAAGGTGACATAGTGTCAGGAGAGCAGAACAGGGACAACAGAGTGTTGGTTTGGGAGATGGTACAGCAGAGACAGGAGGGAATCCATGCCTTTTGTGAGCTGTAAGTTTTATCCTCCTGAGTCTCATATGCTCAGCAGAAACTCCTGCGGTGGGATCTCTGGCTCCCTGTTGTCCAGCTTTCTGTGTTGCTTTGTCCCTTTGTCCCATTAGTCCTCTCCACGCCTGGACCACTACCTCCCAGCTGAATCTCCCCCTTGTCACCTAGTCGCTCCTGGTGACGTGGTCTCCCAAAAACATTGTGCGCCTTGTCTCCTCACTCCAAAAATTATTATGTCCTCCGTCCAGGAGGAACTAAAAAAATATATTGTAAAAGATGTGGAAGAAAAAGATTTAGAATCACTGCTTTAAGGCATTCGACTGACTTGTTTAGCTTTTTGATTATTTACAGAGGAAGGAGGTTTAATAAAATGCAAGAAAAGTTCACTTACAAGCTGCACAATAACAAATGTTTCAGCTACCTCACACAGAATGCGATTACCATAATATAATAATAACAGTATCAAAGCAATAATATCAGAATGTTAGGGACACCCTGTAATTATTTAAAAAAAAATATATAGGACAAGTTGTATTTACAATTGCTGAAATTTATTAATTAAAATTTAAGATTTTCAATTTTAAGCTTCTAATATTTGCAGAAAAGTCAGTTTACTTTATAATCACATTAGGATTCAAGCCACGCAAAATAAATGAAGCTTTCAATGATTTTGTTGTAATAGCAAAACACTCAGAGTGATATCTAAAAAATTGGTGATATGATTTATGCAGCTCCTGTTTTCAAAGCACCTAAGTGATTAGGCATCTAACGGTATCATTTAAAAAAGTATTGGAAGGGTGAGGTCCTGTCTTAAAGATCAGTGAAAATTTACTCATAACTGCTACTGAATACCTTGGCCTATACACTTAGATTACTTCAGATCGTTTTAAAGGTGTTAGTTTCAGATTTTTAAATAATCTGGACGTTGTCTAAAATGAGACTTCAGTGCTTTTGGAATCTTTGCCTGGGTTAGTCATGTATTGGAGACTAGCAATGGAAGAAAGTAAGTGTGTGAATTACATATAAATTGCTTTTGATGGAGAAAAAATACTGTATAATAGACATCGTTACACTTGTTACAAGATGTCACAGTCACACCACCATAGATTGGCAAAGACTGCAACCCAGGAATATATATCACTCTTCTGTCTATCCTTACGTCAACATATAGGATGATACTGTTTTGCTTGCTTCATGATCTCCTAGGAGATTTTCTCCCCGATTAGGAGAGGATGAGGTTCTAACAGCAGAACAAAAATTTATGTGAATTAAGACTAAGAGGAAAGTACATAATTTCTTCCTCCTCTCCATCATCTCTTTTCCTCTCTTACTTCAAATATCCTATACAGACATGAAGCCTTTCCTGTCACCTAGCTCTGGTAAGCCCGTGCCCTGCCCAGCAGAATTCAAATTCTGTCCCCAAAATAATGCCCTGTCCTCTTTTAGTGGCAAAAAGCCAGAATATTCTTAGCGTGAAAAGTTTCCTGTGATATCTTTACTTCTTCGTGCAGGCTTTCTTGTGGGAATGGGTGAGTAAGCCGGTAGTTAGGGATTTATTACTTGCTTCACAATGAATGAATACTTTTGATCATGAGGATCATGGTTTTTCAAGAAACTTGAGTGAAAATGTAAAATTTAAAATATTGTCTATTTTGTTGTAACTTTGAGATTTTCAGAAAGAGTACTCTCTGCACCAGCAAAGTCCCTTTCCTGCAAAAATAGTGGGCCAGTTTAGATAGGCTGATAGGCAAGTTTGCATGCAGACATGTAATTTTCTGGCTATACCCAAAATTTGGTGGGCATCCCTTTTCACTCCTCTAAAAGGAGCAAAAAAAAGTAGGTAATTGAAATAAACATTATTTAAATTGAGTAATCTAACCATAGGCAGAAAAGGCCAAATTAAGTGCATGTTTATAGTCTTTCCATATGTTCTGTCAGCTCTGAATTCAGTCATTTGATCATTTTGCTGTTATGTTTTTCAATGTTCTGCCTGTAGTGCAAAATACTTAAGCCACACCAATGCCAGTACTGTTTCAAGATCAGAGTACTTGTGCGGGGTGTAGGTTTTGAACAAGGGTTTCATATTATCCTGCCTTTACTTGATAATTAACATCACAGTTAGCAGTACAATAGAGGAATAGAGCCCATGAAAGTATGCAATCTGAGAAATGGCTTGACTCTTGGTGTAGTTTGGATATATTTTTGGGTACAGGATAAATCTGCCACACATTTAAATATTTAAATTGATCAGTTAAACTGACTACATTACACGTATTTTCCTTGTAAGGAATCCGTTTTTTTTTTGCTTTCAGACAGCTAGATTTCACACTTACAAGTTTTTAATCTTGTTCTTCTAGAGCAATCAACAGCAGCTGAGAAACAAACAGAGCTGATTAAATCTGATCATTTTCAACTAAATGACTGTTCAATAACTATATTTCAGTAGAAGAAAAGGGCATAGCTGTGCTCACAGATTTCTGCACAGTATTAGAGAAAGAAAACTTTTTAGGTAGACTTACAAAAATTTGAAATATAACTGTCAACCGTATAAAGGTCTGTAATTTAGAATCCAATTTCTGTTCACATTCAGCATAATATTAACTATTTAGTTACTTTTTGGTTGTGGTAGAACTGTATCAGTCATTAGAATGTGGTATAACTTCTTTGAACAATCTGTATTCAAAGAAAATCAAAAGAGTAGGTCTCTAATATGTAGTTAATTACTTTTAAGTTAAACCACTGCTATTCAAATGGAAAAAATACATGAATTTTCACATGGGTCTGGCTAAAGCTGTTAATTATATTACGCAAATGTTTTCAGTTTAATTACTGGGATTAATTATATTTAGCATTTCTGAAGGAATGAGTCTTCAGGCCATAATTTGTTATTTGAAGTATCAGAAGACACCAAGAGACATACATCTAACAAACATTACACTGTTTTTCAAGGGAAAAATTATTTGACATTCATTTTAATACTTGTATTACTGCAAAGTAAGCGATTTGGTCCTACCCATCTTATAGGTATATGATCTGATTACACCTGTCATGATGTAAAATGGAGTGGCTAATATTAAGAGAATTGTAAAGTTCAGTTACTGTTATTCTTTCAGCTCTTTTTGTTTAATGATTTAAACAAATAGCTTATACTTTCTTTACACATGTAGTAATTTTATTTACATGTAATCGATATAACTGAGATGGTCTTTTCCAGTTGCCTCATTCAAAATGGAGTTGATTAATGTGCAATTTAGTATATCTGAGTTCTTTAGATCACAAAAATTATCTATCAGCTGAATGTATTTCAGTCATTACCCAGTAAATATACTTACTACATCCACAAGTAACTAAAAGTCAATGTGTACTCATGAAGGAGAAAATATTTGCATTCAACACTGAAGTTTATCCATTTTAAGCAACAGTGACAATTATTGTGAGTCTTACCAAAATCTGTGTGGAGGTTTTATGATATGTATTAGTTCTGCAAAAAAAATGTTCATTCTGAGACTTCTGTTTAGAGTTAACTGGATTCTTAAAACTGAAGCCTTTATGTCCTCACCCACCAAACCACTCACACCACAGTTGTTCATTCAATTTTGCTTCAGTTAAAAAGTGCATGTTGGTTGCTGGATATAGTAACTTATTTTAAGGAATAGCAGAGCCTGTGCAGGGTTCCTTCGACACTGAGGAAAAAAAGATTAATTTCATCTTTATGCTAACTTCCAAGTGCTGTATGTAAATACCAACAAAAACTTATTCAGCAGCTGTCATTTAAAATCCTGTGATATAATTACTAGGAGATTTGTAATTCTTTACTTTAAAATGGGATTACATTTTCTCTCATTACAAAATCCTGTGGCATTTGGTACACAGTCTTTGGTACAGAAGTAGTGTTCTTACAACTAGAGTTCCAATCTGTCCTTAGAAATTTGTCAATACATCCAGTTCCTATCTGCTGTATCAGAAAAAACTTACCTTATGAGTTTGTTGTTTTACATTATCAGCACAGTCGTATAGGACTAGGCAATAATTTTCTTATGGCAATGAGGAAATGGGGAAGAGTAAATGTCAGAGTTTTACAACAGACAAGTACATGCATTATGCATTTTTTGCATTTATTTAAAATGAGGCCAGATCCTCTCCTTGTTTCTGTAAAACAGAAGTGGATGTAACACAACTTATTTCAGTGATATTTCACTGCCACACTACTATGTGTAATGAGAATCCAGTGCCAAAGCACTGTAAGCCTACTGCTTAGGAGCTCAGAAAGGACATCACCCTTAGATTGCAAGGGGCATATTTCAGAGTAGGAATACAGGGAAATGTTTTGCATCTCGGCTGCAAATGTAGTTACAACCCTAACCATATTACAGAAATCTGCTGTGGTTCTTCAGCTAAGCCAGCAAGCCTTTGCTGATTTAAGGTGAAACTTGCTGCCTGTTTTCTCTCTCGCTGTCCCTTCTTCCTCGTCACTTCTTTCATGTCAAAGCATCAGCTACTGTCTCAGCTTTAGCAGACGTCTGAGGAGTTTTTACTAAGTCCTGGTTTTGATTCTGTTTCTTAGATATTGAGTCTAATATGCTGATCCTTGCTCTGTGTACACATAAATCATTCCTCCACAAATCACTAACCACTTCATCTTTCAACTCTTTTTAAGCCCCCAATCCATCAATTTATTTGACCCTGCTGCTCTTATTGTCCCTTTTTCTCCAACTGGCTTCTATTCCTCTGCTCATTCAGTGGTCGCTACCTTTAACTCAAGTTCTCCTACTAGGTCAGCCCTTTCAAATTCATC